TCTGTCTCTGGTGAAGCCTCTCACCGCCCCTGATCCTCTGGCCTGTACCCCAGTTCTGTATGTACAAATAAATAAATCTTTAAAAAAAAAAAATTTAACAGACTATTGGTAATGTCTACTTACTGGAAGTTGTCACCACTATGGAGATTGTTAGCACGTAACAAACCATACAAAGTGACATGTGTGTTCTCTGATGAAATGCTCAGGTCATGTTCTTTTCCTTCCCTGATCATTGTACGTTTAAGAAGACTAGAACACTTCAAGGCCAGCTCCAAAGCATCCATCCAGCATCTTCCTAGAAGAACAGGGATTAATGAGCAATATAAATCAAAGAATGATAAAAACCACTAACTCTCTTAACTTCATAGTGTTAACATTTATTACTACATATACTGTTACTTCGTTGAGAAACATGCATTAGAAAAGTTCATTTGAACATGAAATTGTTAGGATTATGACCTTAAGACAATTTTTTAATTTGTCTACCTAGTTAATGATGCATTTAGTTCTACGTAATGTATGATATAGTACCTCTGTTTCAAAGACCACTCTAAAGATAGATTTAAAATACAGAATAGTTTATAAAATAAACCCTTAAAAATGAAGACCAAAATACACTCCACTAAAACTTGTATTTACCATCTGACTCTGAAGTAGCTCGGATGATCAAATAACTACTGGGCAAGGGCTGAGTTATAGATCCAACTGCTTCACCTTTTGGACCCTTAAAATAAATAAATAAAAGTGAAAATGGTATACGGTAATTATCATGTGATTTCTATGTTATCTATTATTAACTGTAGTAATCTTACTTAGGTATGATTTGTAATATGAAAGCAAACAAACTTTAATTTCGTGCTTCTGGAAAAAGTAAATATTAAATAAAGTTTTCTTCTTTCAACAAATAAGACTTCCTTACCAGAAAACTGAAATTACATTAGCTAAAAATAACTGAATATTGTTCACATATTAGAATGAAGCCTAAAATTTACAGCAAAGATCAAATTTTAACAATTTCCAATTCTACAACTACTACTAGCTAAATACTACATTTCTAGAAACCTAAAGAAATAGCTGAAAATATTCAAGAAAAAGGAGACATGAATTTGAGACAGTCTGGGCAAAGTATAATGGAGGTAAATCTTGTTTATACTTGTTTAAAATACCAAGTATAAAAGTTAATTGTATTTTTCCAGCAACAATAAAGAAAAAGATTACTTTTGTTGTTTGGGGTTATCTATTTTGGAAGCATACTACAACAAGAACTCTACAGTAATTAGTATCACCAAAGATACACTTAGGTGAAACAGTTTATACTTGGAAAGAAAGCCCAAGGACTAAATTTATCATGTAATTTTGATAAAAAAAGTATGATCTTTTAAGTTGTCAGATCAAAGAATTAAATAATTTTAAGAAGCATAAAACATTATTTAAAATAAAAAGGTAGGGAAAAATCAACATGATTTAAACAAATGCTACAATATATACTATCTAATATCCTTATAATTTATGAACCAATTCCTAAAACCAGTATAGAGTAAGACTTAGAGTTTGACTGAGTTACAATTTTGGGGCCATGCCAGAAATATTACTTACTAACCTCTTTAGCCTCAAACCCTTTATCTGTGTATTGGTAAAATATTTTATGCTCATTAAAGGTATGATAATTAAAAGAAGATTCCATGTATAGTAACAAAGAGTTCCCGACAGAAAGAACTCAAAAATATTATTTCCTAATCATAAAACACTAACTTTGAAGCTATTTAACAATGCTTTAAAGTTGGTATTGGGGGGATCCCCTGGTGATGCAAGGAGTAAAGTCTCAGCTCTATGAAGCTATCTTAAGTGCTGCAGCCACTGCAGCACAAGTTCAATTCCCACACCAGGGAGCTGACCAGATGGCACAGCAGACCTCTCCTGTCTTGCCCACTGCTCCCCTCAGTAGTGTATTTTGGTAGATCTGCCTGTTCTGCTCCCCACTCTGTCTCTGGTGAATTCTCTCACTTCTTGCACCTCTGGCCTGCACCCCAACTCTTGTATGCATAGTAAATAGGATCCAGTATTACAAGAAAGTTAATAACTGCAAAATTTAAAATAAAACAATACAAACTGAATCCCTGTGGACAAAAGGGATAAGGTGCAATAAAGTTCCAGAAACATTTTTTGCAGAAATTTTAAGTTAAATCTTATTGATAAAATTTTTGGGTACAGGTTTCATTGTGGCTAGATACAGTGAGGAATAATGTACTTGGAATGAGAAATTTTTAGGATAGAATCATTAGATTGATTTATTAGTTTTACTCATAGATTATCTTCTTTACTTTCTACTTTATAAGCAGGGTTTACTTACCTTAACAGCCCAAATAGACTGCTCCAAAGGATGGAAAAGTTTGAAACAAAAGCCATCCTTTTTTGATGGACGCTCAATGATTTCACAGGCATTCAGAAGGACTGTTCCTACCCACTGACCATTTTTTTGCGTTTTATAGATGAGTAATACCCCAGGTTTCAACACACACCACAACTTGGTCCAGCTCTTTAAAGTACCACGAATCTACAAAGAGATAATTTATTTTATTTCAATGAAAATTACTTTTCAGAATGAAATAAGCTCTGTTTTCATGTTCCACAAAATACAATCAACAACAACAACAAATAAATAATGGCAGATAGGTATGTTCTAATTTAAAATTTTCATAAAATGTAATTTTAGATTTATGTATGAATAGAATCTATATATAAAGGATTAAGTGACAAGTACTTCAAATGCTTATGAAAAGAGATGGCTTCTGTTTCTGAGGAACTTAAAGTCTATAGGAGATTGGAGAAACAGTTTCAAATAATATACTTAGTAAAATAGTTTTCTTTATTTCCCTAACCAGGTCAAGGACATTAAAATAACTTTTGTACTACTGAGATTTTTCTCCCTCTTAGCATTTATCAAAAGGGTAATGTTATCTGTGAAAGTATATGATTATTCTGGTTTTTAAGATCTTTTTCCCTCTCCACATAGCACTCCATCAACAGTGCTGAAAACATTGCTAGCACATACTAGGTATTCCTTAAATATTTGGTGATTGGTAGGAAGAGGGAAGAACCTCTTTCTAGTTACTACAATTACCTTCTCTAAATCACTTTGTTCATAGCACTTACATAAGGCAGGAAAATTTTACAACATAAGTTATAAGAATGTCTCTTTTATCTCATAAAATGTTCCTCATTCTGAGTTTATGTCAAGTCTTTATAACTAGGTTTTCTTTCCAACTTGTATCCCTGTAATCTATTAAAGTTATATCTATGGGGCCCTCCCTGGTGGCGCAGCAGGTTAAAGCACAGCACTAAGAAGCTAAAGCCACCCCACATGAGTTTGATCCCCACCCCGGAGGTGATTCACATGGCACAGCAGACCTCTTCTGACCCGCCTGCTACTACCCTCAGCAATGTACTTCATTCATCTGCCTGTTCTGCTACCCACTCTGTCTCTGGTGAATCCTCTCACTGCCCCTGCATTTCTGGCCTGTACCCCAGTTCTGTATGCATAAATAAATAAATCTTTAAAAAAAATCTATGCAAGTCACTAAATTTACAATATTAAAGGATAATATAACAGATGAAAATTAGGAATAAACTTATTTTTATTTACTGTAAGAATCTTTTTTTTTTTTAAAGATTTGTTTATTTATTCATACAGAACTGTGGTACAGGCCAGAGATGCAGAGGGTGAGAGTATTCACCAGAGACAGAGCGGGAAGCAGAACAGGCTGATCGATGAAGTACACTGCTGAGGGGAGCAGCGGGTGGGTCAGGAGAGGTCTGCCACGCCATGTAGTCACCTCCGGGGCAGGCGGGTGAACTCATGCGGAAGTGGCTTTAGTTTCTCAGTGCAGTGCTTTAACCCGCTGCGCCACAGGGAGGGCCACTGTAAGACAATCTTTTAATGCACTTACATGAACTATGGAATAAATGTGGGAGTCTACAACCACAAATAAGCTTACCACAGTAACTCTAAGCAAGGAAAATTTAGAAAGGAGGAATTTAGGAATGAGGAAAAAACTGTTACAACAACGTATGTAAAAGAGAAGTGGTAGCAGAAGTTACCCTGAGATGATGTTGTAGGTCCTGGAGATTTAACAGAAGTTGAATGCAAATTATCAGAATGAAGCTAACAATTAAAAAGTCAGGGGATGTGCTGGGGATTGGTTAGGGAAATCCAGGGTTATAAAATAAGAATAGCAGCAACTCTGAAAAGCCCAAGTGATACCAAGAGCTGAAAATTCTAAGTTGATCCAATGTCAGTCAGAAGGTGTTTTAAGCACAGCACTGAAGGCCTTGTATTACCTGAAATATCAGGAAATTATCACTACACTTCCATTTAAGAGATCATCTATCACAGATCTCATATGAATTTTAGGTAAGAAGTTATACCAACTCTTGAGGAAAGGGAAAGCTGTAAATGCTGGAGTGATTTTTAAGTAAATACCACACACTAAACTTCCTGGATTCAGAATCTTACTAGAGCATTCTTAAAATGAGCATTAGTCTGGAAGATTCCTACAACAAACATTCTTCAGGTAAGACTGACAGAAAGTATAGGGAGATTAGATCATCAAAAGGAAGGAAAAAACAAATAGTAATAACTAAAGGCCGCACGAAGGTAAGAAGAAACAGAAAATATGCATGTTTTTCTGAAAATGAATGCTTTTCAAATAACTTTGATATTAACTTCGCTTCATACCTTATCATGGAATGTGTACTGAGTCCATAATAATACCAAATGATAATTTAAATAGTAAGCATAACTATTTGCTTCCAGCACAGTGATCAGACTATATAATATCACACAAATCAAAAGGCCTTTCAAAAATAACTGCTGTTTGTATTTGATTTTATTGTCAACAGAGTAAACAATAAGCTTCCTTCTCATTAAGCCTGGAACACAAAAATGGTGAGATACAACTAGTAGTTTCTGGGCCAGCAAAAATTCATCATAGTTGCTTTTGTCCTATAGGCTTTATATAAACTCTAGACGTTCTTAGTCCAGTAGATAAACATTCAGCAAGTTGACTTCAAGATTCAATACAAACTGACCTTCAACCAATCAGCCATAACAATGACAGAAGGATCTGTGATTGTACTGAGTAATTCCTTTGTGGCTCTTTTCTTTTCTTCTCGATAATTCTTCTTTTGTACCTATTTTGTTGAAATAATAGAAAAATTAAATTTTAATACAAATGGGAAATTTATTTGCAATTATTTAGGTCTGTATCATGTAGAATATAAAATGCTAAAACTTTCTGAATTTTAACATGATAAAAGAACTATCTTTTTTGAGAAATATTTAGAGAAGCAAGGTTAGAATTTAGTTTTTCTGATTATTAGTATAGTTCTCTATCTTTTTAAAGAATTTTGCCATTTTTTAAAATTATACATAATACTTGAATGAAATTTCCCAGTAAAAATTAAAAAAACACAAATAAAAGTAGGAGTCATTTATCTAATGACCTTTCCTATTCCAAATTCCAGAATTGACCACTATTAACCTTCTGGAAAATACTATCCTTTCAAGCCTTTTCTAAGTAAAAAACATATATAAATATGTAACTTTTGTGTTTTTTTTTAACACATACAAAAAGTTCCCCCCATTCATGAGCTTCTGGCGTGTTTCCATCAACATATCACATTCCATGCACACATTTTTTTTGCTGCTACATAGGACTTCCAGCATGAATAAAATAATAACAGCTAACATTTACTGGGGTACATTTTGTATGCCAGTCACTGTTCTAAACTCTTTTCATGTATTACCTCATTTAATCTTTACAATAACCTTGAAGAAGGACTATCATTATCCTATAAATCATGCCATTTGCGGCAACATGGATGGAGCTGGAAGGGATTATGCTAAGTGAATAAATCAGAAGGAAAAAGGTAAACACTGAGTAGTTTCAATTAGATACAGAATATAGGGGGGGGAAAGGGGTCAGGAAAAAGATAAAACTGACAAGGTGAGCACAGACCTAGGGTATACAGCAGAGGATGGGGAGAGAAAGCAGTTATACCAGGGGAGGGAAGAGCATAAGGGACTGGAGATGGACCACAGGTGCTGTGGTGATAGGAGAACTACATGGACTACACCTGAGGGGAGAAATGAGATACCAAAATTAACAATGATATAAGAGAATAAATATGTTAAAAAATAAATACAATATTGCTAGTTGTATAAAACAGTAAACAGAATATACACAGATAAAAACTGTGACAATTCTACAGTCAAGCAATTTTAAACTTTTGTTTTTCTTAATATATATATATGAATTGAATATGGGATTGCAAATTAGCACAAGATTATGTATGAAACAAAACTGAGCAAAAGAGGAGACTGGGATCAGAGTCAATTGGAAAAGGTGTGTCTTTTTTTTTCTTTTTTAAAGATTTATTTATTTATTTGTGCACACAGAGCTGGGGCACAGGCCAGAGGCTCAGGGGCGGTGAGAGGCTTCACCAGAGACAGAGTGGGGAGGAGAACAGGCAGATCCACGAAGTACACTGCTGAGGGGAGCAGCGGGCGGGTGAGGAGAGGTCTGCCACGCCATGTGGTCACCTCCAGGGCAGGTGGGAATTGAACTCATGTGGAAGATTTAGCTTCTCAGTACTGTGCTTTAATCCGCTACGCCAACAAGGAGGGCCGGAAAAGGTGTTTCTTGAGCTCCAGGTCCTGGACCATAATGGAAGGCAAGCCCGTGTTGCATATTTGTATTTTTTTTTAACTTATATTGATTTTTTAAAAAGATTTATTTATTTATGCACACAAGAGGGGGCTGTAGGTCAGAGATATGGGGATGAGAGGTGGGGGTGAGCGGATCCATCAGAGACTAGAGGGGGAAGCAGAACAGGTGGGATGACTGAAATACACTGCTGAGGGGAGCAGCCTGTGAGACAGGAGAGGTGTGCTATGCCATATGGATCAGGCTCCTTGGCCTGAGATCAAACTCGTGCCACAGTGGCATGGATACTTCATAATGCTAAGAACCCCTTGTGCCACCAGGGAGGTCGCACCCATGTGGGGATATTTCTTTATTATGTAGGTTAAACAAAATATCTACCTGTGGGACAACTTCAGTTAGCAAACTCTAATTTTAAAGGGCACCAGAGCTTCCCATTAGGTGTTTCACAATACAGTTGCAATACAGTGACATGCCTCACTCAGGTACTACTGCACAGAGGTATCAAGTCCTCAGCCCCACAGCAGGTACTTGAGGCCCGAAGCAGCTCCGCCTCAGTCATCAAACAGCTTTATGAGTGTTCAATGTACCACACGAACGTTAACATTCATTATGTGTGTGTCTGGATATTTTTTTCTTCATTTATGAAAACACATTTACTTATCAACCTACTTTCAAAAGCACATGCAAAGCATAATGTTAGTTACTGCTCATAAATAATTGGGGAAACTAACCTTGAGAGATTCCTTTTTTGTGAGCTTGCTTGAAGCTGAACTGTCCTTTTCCGAGCCATTATAAAGTTTAGATTCAGACTAAAATCATATAGAAATGAACAAAATAATAATAATAATAATTAAAATCTTTAATATATGACACATAAAAATTAACATTAATGCTATGTTTGTGAGATTTTTTTCTAAGTATCACTGTAACTAAGGTAAATGTCCCTTTTCAAATACAAATTTTCCCTATATTGCTGGGTTTAAAAGTAAATCCATGTTAAACCCAAAAATATACAAAACAAATACACAAAATAAAAAATAATCAATCTACCAAGTAAAATTAGATCATTTGTAGTTTTTAAAAAAGATTTATTTATTTATGCATACAGAACTAGGGCACAGGCCAGAGGTGCAGGGGCAGTAAGGGGATTCACCAGAGACAGAGCGGGGAGCAGAAAAGGCAGACTGATGAAGTACACTGCTGAGGGGAGGAGCAGGCGGGTCAGGAGAGGTCTGCCGCGCCATGTGGGTCACCTCTGGGGCTGGGGATTGAACTCGTGCTGAAGTGGCTTTTAGCTACTTAGTGCTGCATTCACCCACTGCACCACCAGGAAAGGCCCCATTTATAATTTTTAAAAAACTTTATTTTCTAATAAGAATAATGAACAGCCACATACCAGAGACATTTTGCAGGGGTGGAGTGGGGAATGGATCAAAAACGGGGGAGAGGGGAGGGAAGTGCACAGGACTATGGTGATGGCACATGGGTGACTCGGGGATGGGAAACCCATGGAGATTACAATTAAGATGGAAAAAAAAATGTACAAAATGATGTAAAAACAAACATATTATTTAAAAAACAAACTATTTTCTAGAGTATTTCTAATAATTATTAAATTATTCTTAGGGAAAAGTCAATAAAGCAATGTAGTTTTTTAATAGTGGAATTATTCTAAATTTAAAAAAAGTGCATTCTAGCAAGTTGCTGCACACACTACCCACTGTTACACTAATGAAAATATAAACATCTTCAAAAACTAGTATTAAACCACTATTCTACAAGTAGGATTTTTTCATACATATTGCATGGCTTAACTGTACCAACAAAAAAATATCCCACAGAAATCTGATAGTATTCATTTTTGCATTTAAAATGCAAAATTTAGAAAAATGTCATTATTTGGGGACAACAATGCTTACCTTGCTCTTTGACATAGAGAGTGAAGATTCATCTTTATTTTGAGAAATGTCTTCCTTCCCTCTTTCAAAACCTTTAAAAAACATTGTCATCTCAGTATTTGTATTCATGGACATAAACAGGCATTTTTATTAATGTTAAAAAACAAACAATATAAGTCATTTAATTTCAAATATACATTATATTTGATGTATATCAGAACAAGAAGCCTAGGCTGTACATATGTTTTAAAAAAGACCTCTAAACGGTTTTAGTGCAGTAATTCTTTAGAATGAATTAGAGGTTATGGAGGTAATGAAGTCTTTTCCTAAACCCACTGATTTCAACCTAAATATCTCTTTTCTGTGCTCTTAGATACACTGCATGATTTCAGGCCTCATGGTACTTTTATTCCAGTGAACTTTTTATCCTAACTGATAAAACCAATCCAACATTTTTCATACCTCTTGCCCAATGTTAAAAACAATTACAGAACTGCTGATAAAAAAGACAGGATATAAATCTGGGTTGAGAAATAGACCTTAAAATAAAAAATCTAATCATGTGCTTTCTGTAAGAATCAAATGAAAAGGCACAGAATATACTTAGTTTAGTACTTTACACACAGAAAACATTCAATTATAGCTAACTTTTTAAATTAAAAATGTCATTATCTATGGCTATATAAATTCTGTAACAATGATCAAAATACATGGATGACACATATTCCTATAGTCATGTAACATACTAATACAGCATGATGCCAAAATCTATTAACAAATTAATGTTACAAGGACATAATTAGAGACAGGTTTATAGTGAGATTTATAGCAGGCATAAAAGAAGCAGTGTACATTTTAATGAGGTTCCATTTTTGAAGACAAGTAATATGGCCTCTTCCCTGTAATTATTTGTTGAGCCTAATAAAAACTTTTATTAAAAGTACGTGCAATTAGGCCCTCTCTGGCGGCGCAGCGGGTTAAAGCACTGCACTAAGAAGCTTAAGCCACTTCTGCATGAGTTCGATTCCCGCCTTCCCTGAAGGAGTGCCACATGGCGAGGCAGACCTCTCCTGACCTGCCCGCTGCTCCCCTCAGCAGTGTACTTCATGGATCTGCCTGTTCTGCTCCCCACTCTGTCTCGGGTGAATCCTCTCACCCCCCGCATCTCTGGCCTGTACCCCAGTTCTATATGAATAAATAAATAAATCTTTAAAAAAAAAAAAGAGTACGTGCAATTATACACAAAGCAGTGGTTAACATATCAGTAGCACCAACACCTCAAACATTTTAAAATCACTTCTAGAATATCAATGATAATATAAATTATACTGTTTGTTATATACTAAGTAAAAACAATTGCATTCCATTTTCTTAATCCAGAAAGTTGACTGAATTTTTTCTGTAATATAAGCAAGGAATCTTCCTCACACACACACACACACACACACACACACACACACACACACACACACACACACACACACCAGTAAGAAGAGTAATCACTCAAACCCAAAAGTAAAAAAACAAAAAATAAAACCACAATTGTTTCATAAATATAACATGAAATTTTAAATGAAAACTAATCAGAATTTGAAACTTTAGTATAAATCAGACCAAAAAGAACACATATTGAAATAAGTAATTCTCAACACTAATGATCATCATAAAACTTCAAAGATCTCAATACATGTAGGAGTATAAAGATCTGTCAAAAAAACACTGTTTTTGATGCTTTTGGAATCAACATAAATTAATTTTTCACACATATTTTTTGTTATTTATTTCTTCTACAATTCTGACCTTTCACTGGTAATCACTCTCCTTTGTCCTGAAGTATGTTTTAGAATTTTCTTTAGTGAGGGTCTCCTGACAGAATTCTTTCAGTTGTTTGTCTCAAATGTCTTTATTTTCCCTTCATTCCTGAAGAATTTTTAGGCATGGAGTTTCAGATTGGCAATATTTATTTTCACCATATTGAAAATACTGTTCCTTTGTTTAGGCTTCTACTGTTTCAGCTAAGAAGTCAGAGAGAGAGCCTTCCCTGGTGGCACAGTGGGTTAAAGCATAGCACTAAAAAAGCTAAAAGCCACTTCAGCATGATGAGTTCGATCCCCGCCCTGGAGGTGATCCACATGGCATGGCAGACCTCTCCTGTCTCACCTGCTGCTGCCCTCAGCAGTGTACTTCGTCAGTACACCTGTTCTGCTCCCCACTCTGTGTCTGGTGAATCCTCTTACCACCCCTGCACCTCTGGCCTGTACCTGAGCTCTGTATTCATAAATAAATAAATCTTAAAAAACAAGTCAGAGGGAAATAACCACTGTTGTGAAGGAAATCTGCTGGGTTTTTTCCCCCTCTGTCTCTTATATGCTTAAGTTTCATTATACTGTATTTAGGTTTCTTTTTGTTTATTCTGCTTGGTATTCACATTTGGCTTTTTGAGAATTCTGTGGATTGGGTTTTTGATTAGTCTTGAAAAGGTATCCATTATATTCAAAGATTTACTCTAGTTCTTTTATGACTAAAAAGAAATACATGAAACTTTTCCCTTTTATTTCCTATCTCTTTTACATTTGTGATCTTTTTGTCTCTCCTTATTGCATACTAGATAATTTCTTCTAAACTGTCTTCCTCTTTGTTAAGTTTGTCTTCATCTATATGTCAAATATATTACATGTTCATTTTTTTTAAGATTTATTTATTTACTTATGCATACAGAACTGGGATACAGGTCAGAGGTGTGGGGGCTGAGCGGACCCGGACCCACTAGACAGAGTGGAGAGCAAAACACGCAGATGTACTGAAATACACTGCTGAGGGGAGCAGTGGGCGAGCCAGGAGAGGTCTGCCACACCATGCACATGGGTCACCTCCGTGGCCAGGGATCAAACTTATGAGGAGTGGCTGTGAGTGCTTCATAATTTTGTGCTTTGACCCCTTGTGCCACCAGGGGGGCCCTCTATTCAAATTGTAATTTTGCTTATCATGTTTTCTTTCATTTTCACTTCACTTCCGGAAAGTTCTACTCTATTACTTCACAATTATGTGGGTTACTATGTATAATTTCTGGTTTTTCAAGTTTGTTTCGAAAGTATGGCTTTCTTTCTTAAACAGCAAACATAAACTTTACAAAAATAATCCAGGGCTCTCCCTAGTGGCACAATGGGTTAAAGCATTGCATAATGAGGTTCTCTGAAGTTATTGCAGCATGAGTTCGATCCCCCACCAGGGAGCTTACCCACATGGCATGGCAGACCTCTCCTGACCGGCCCACTACTCCTCTCTGCAGTGTATTTCATCAGTCTATCTGTTCTGCTCCCTATTCTGTCTCTGGTGAACCTTCTCACCCACCATATCCCAGTTCTGTAAGCATAAATAAATAAATCTTTAAAAAATAATAATAATAATCCATGCTTGAATAATTCTATTACCTGAAAGGCAGTGCAGGGCATTTTCTGTTAGCTACTATTTCGGTTACTTTTCATTCATCTTGTTTTATACCTGGTTATCTTTGACTTATATTTTGATAGTTGACTGAAAATTATTTGAGGTAATAATTTGAAGCCTAGAATAAAAATGTTTTTTTATTCAGAAAAGATCTGTAATTTTCATTACGTCCTTAATGGCGTTTCCCTAAACTACCTAGTTTCTTGTTTACACTACATAAAGTAGCAAGACTATTATTTTTATTGACTCCAAATATATCTTATAAAAGCTCAACAAAAAGCCAAGTCATGATTTAAAACCAGGGAACTGAACTCCATTCTCACACTTCAAAATTTTCAGACAGGTCCCTATATTTTCTTTGGCTACAGAACCTATAATAACAACATGTACTGAATGGATGAATACTCTGAATGATAGGTGACAAATCCTCAATCAACAAACAATTATTAATTCATAAATCATCTCATAAATATTTATAATGTACCTACTATGTGCTATGCAGTGGAGTAGATTTTAGGGATAGAAATATGAAAAGATCCCTATTGTTTTTGCCTCCCTTTCTCCAAAAGGCAATTGTGAGTATTAAATTATTATAAGGTAAGATAATTCCTTATTTTAGATGCAGTGGGCAGCTAAAAGAAAAAAGTAAGGCTACCTGAGTTTAAATAATTGTATTACCATTTACTAGCTATATAACCCTGGACAAGTTACTTCATTCCCAGTGAAGTTTCTCTGTAAGGAAAATATTTGAATTGTAATACTACTGAAGTAAAATTGAAAAAAAATTGCTATTGTATTTTGTTTATAAGGAAAGAAAACATACTCTTCAAAAATGTTTTCAACAGTTAAAACAAATAAAAAAGTTATAGTTTAAACTAGTCAAAAAACAAAACAAAGCTATACCGCTATGTACAACTTTGTTCTAATTCTGAATTATTTGTTTTTTAAGTCTGTCTGTGCTTTTTATTCTAAATATATTTCATTGTGGAAAATCACCATAAACTCACAATAATTTCAATGAATACAGTTGTACATTATAATTTTAACTTTTCATCATGTAATTGTATAGCCATGGTAAAATCCCTTGACTTTCAGGGTCTTCACTCTTCAACTATAAATATATTTTACATTAGATGATCTCTTCTAGAAATACATAAGCTTTACTTTCTCCAGGTAATCCAGTGGAACATTATTACTGAATAAACTGGTATTTTGTACTCAGCTACTAATTTATTAACCAAATACAAATGTTATCATCTGTAAGGTATGCTCTTTTTATATATTGTGATAGTAAATTTGGTTCACTTTTTAGCTATAATAAAAGTTGTATGCTGCTTAGGTCTTGTTAAAATAAGATTATACACACATATATTAAATACAGATTGTGTAGGTATTTACAAAAGACAGCTGATACAGAGTATCAACTATAGAGAGCTAAGTTAAAAATAAGACACTGTACTAAAAGAGATCTTACTAGTCAGACTATACTAAAAAGAAATCAATCTATGCACTAAAGCTTACATATTTTGTCTATAAACTTATTTGCTTAATGTTTATTTATTCCAATTTTTAGTTATTGTTCCTGAGATAGGTCAATGAATATATATTTGAAATTATAACTTAGGTTAAGGAAAGAGAAAGATAA